TTTAAATTTTAAAATAACACTATTTTGAATAGCAATTACGGTCTCGGATATTACCAAATTTAATCACAGATGATACCAAAATAATTTTTCTATAATATACCTGATACGGTAACTTATTATAAATGTTTGAGTGAAAGTTAGAGTGAGCGTTGAAGTGAACGTTGAAATGAACGTTGAAATGATTGATAGAAGAGTGAATTTTTAGAGTTATGAAGTGAACCTTCGAAGTAATGTTAGAATGTTGAAATGAACGATGAAGTGAACGATGAAGTGAATGTTAGAACTGAATTGAAGTGAACGTCTGAATGAACGTTGAGGTGAATGTTAGAGCGAATGTTGAAGTGAATGTTAGAGTGAACGTTGAAGTAAAAGAAATGTTAAGTGGAGTGAACGTAAGAGTAAACGTTAGCAATGGTTCATAATAATCTTTAATTAAATAATATTGTGTATGGCTCAAATATTTCATTCAAATTAATTTAGTCCATAAGCGTTAATTTTTAAAAATTAAAATAACCATTCGAGTTTATAAAATTAATTATTTTATTTGCATTAATCATGAGCGTGTATAATGAACACTTATTAATAAGGATGTTAAATTAGTCCGATCCGGATCGTAGGATCAACGATCGACGGTCCAAAATGACTAATTTATTCCTTTTCACAATTATTAGGCTGACCTTAGATCATATTGATAGACCAATTTAATATCCCTACTTATTGATTAAGTATTTAAAATTTTCTCTTAGCTATGAATTATTATTGGGTAGTTCAAGAACAAAGACCCGGTGATACTTTCGTGGTCATGTGATTAAGTGTTCGGCCTAATTAGGGTTATAATTTTTAAACAAATGACGTCATTGCATGATTTCACATGTGATAAGCATAGCGGGCTTTCATCATGATTGGCTAATTTTTGTAGATCATCTCGTGATATTGTAAAAATTTTATTGGCTAATCGTTTTTAAACATTATTAATATTAATTAAAATCATTGAATAAAATAAGCTAATGATAAAAAAAATAATTATACTTGTGGCAATTTGAGATTAGCAGAAGTCTTTATTACGAAATTTCGATA